GACCTCGCGGCCGCGCACAAGTACGAGCGCGAGCTGCGACACGACGTCATGGCACACGTGCACGCGCTCGGCGACCAGGTTCCGCTCGCGCGCCCCATCATACATCTTGGCGCCACCAGCTGTTTCGTCACGGACAACTCTGAGGTCCTGCAGATGCGCGCCGCGCTCGACGTGCTCATCCCGCAGGTCTGGGCGTGCGTGCGTAATATCGCAGACTTTGCCGAACAACACAGGCACCTGCCTACGCTGGGGTATACCCACTTTCAGCCGGCACAGCCGACTACGGTTGGGAAGAGGGCGTGCTTGTGGCTGCAGGACTTTTTGTTCGACGCTATCAACCTGGAGACCGTGCGCGACGGCTTGAAGTTGCGGGGGGTTAAGGGCACTACGGGCACCCAGGCGAGCTTTCTGGCCTTGTTTGATGGCGACCATGACAAAGTTAAGGAGCTGGAGCGGTTGGTCACGGAGAGCGTCGGCTTCCGCGAGAGCTGGCCCGTCACAGGCCAGACGTACACGCGCAAGCAGGACTTTGTTGTCGTCGCCGCGCTGGCGGGCGTGGCGCAGAGTGGTGCCAAGATGGCCAACGACATCCGGCTGTTGCAGCACATGAAGGAGGTGGAGGAGCCGTTTGCCAAGGACCAGATCGGGAGCTCGGCCATGGCGTACAAGCGAAACCCGATGCGGTGCGAGCGCATCAACGCGCTGGCGCGCTTCCTCAACAGCCTGGTGATCAACCCCGCAGAGACGGCGTCCACGCAGTGGCTGGAGCGCAGCCTGGACGACTCGGCCAACCGGCGGCTGGCCAATTCGGAGGCGTTCCTCACGGCCGACGCCATCCTCCAGCTCGTGCTCAACGTGTCCGCCGGGCTGGTGGTGTACCCCAAGGTGATCGCCAAGCACCTCGAGGAGGAGCTGCCGTTCATGGCGACCGAGACGATCCTCATGGCGGCCACGCGCGCCGGCGGCGACCGGCAGCACCTACACGAGGCCATCCGCAAGCACTCGATCGCGGCCGGCGCGCGCGTCAAGGAGCAGGGCCTCGACAACGACATGCTCGCGCGCATCCGAGACGACCCGCTGTTCGCTAGCGTCACGCCTGACCTCGAACGCCTCTGCGACGCCACCGACTTTGTCGGAAGGGCCCCGCAGCAGGTCGACGAGTTCCTCGCCCATCACGTCCGCCCGCACCTCGACCAACGCCGCCACCTGCTCGACAAGGCGTGTAACGGCGAGGTCCACATCTAGACCCCCCCCCCCCCCCCCTCAATCCCTAACCCCAAACCCTAGCCTCCGGCGCTCTCTCCGGCGCAATCTCCCGCCACGCGCACAATCAAATTGGGGTTCCCCCGCGCGCAAGGGCGGGCGCATCGGCGCACGCGCCGTGCCGGTGGGGCGCGAAAGAGACAGTGTCGGGCAGGATTATACTAGGTAGAGGCGGCAAGGAGGGTAAGCCGCAGGCGAAGCGAGGCGGGCACGGCGCGGGTGGCCCGGCGGAGGCGGGCGGAAACAGGCAGAAGAAAGTCGGCGTTGTTGCGGGCGGAATACGGTAGGTACTTTTTCGCTAATATTCGGACAGCACTGCTCCAACGTCTTTATACGCGGCAACAACGTCACTGCCATTGCGGCACCGCTTCAACGCCCTTATCCGCGGCAACAACGTCACTGCCATTGTCGGGTTTTACCTTTGTCGGGTTTTACCATTGTCGGGTTTTAAACAAAGTTTAACGCGTGGGCTGCGTTCGTGCACCGCGTACAGTACGTAGGTGGATTCAAATGATAGCAAAGAAGCCAGGTTTCAAGTGTGCTCCGTACGTATCTAGGTGGATTCAGCGATACAGTATCAAAGAAGCCAGGTTGCAAATACCCTCCAAACCGCAAAACCGCACCTTGGCCCGTATTGGAAGGACGAGCACTTGTCACCCTTCCCCTCCCTCGACCAAGCGGCCGCGCAGGCAAGCAATCGAAACCGACCTCATGCGCGTCGATCGCCAATGTCACTGAATATCGCGAGGCCGCGGCTAGTAGACGAGCGGTCAAACTCTCGCGAGGGACGGCTGGCCGGAAAGGGAGTGGGCGTCTGGGAAAGAGAGGTAGAAAGGGAATCAGGGCGGAATGTGAGCAGACGCGGAAAGGGAAAAGCCGAAACTAGCCTTTTCACTTTACTATTAGCCCCTTGTGTCCCTCTTACCCCCGCGCGTCCGGTCACAGGACGGTTGGACAGAGCTAAATACAAAGCGGGGAACAGGCGGCGTCGGGGGGCTTGCAGAAGTCCGCCGCCGTAAGTGTGACACGTGTGCCAACGTGCAGACAGAGGAGCACGTACCAAGGGTACTGTATACAAGTACAGTATTGACAGGCAAGAGCTGTACCGTCCGGTGTGGGGGGAGGGTTGTAATGTACAGAACGGTACCGTACACGTATGTATAGCGGGCGCCCTGTACCCCATGCACAGCGGGAGCGCGAGACGCTCGCGCCTTCCTCCTTACGACTTACGGTCCTCTCGCCGCGCCGTACCCTGGGTACAGTAACGTACTGTACAAATCCACACACGCACGGGTGACGTCCACACATGCCCGTCCATGCTGTCTTAAAGGAGCCCCGCCCTGCCCCTCCCGAGGCGAAGCTGCAGCGTGCAGTGGCCCCGGCGCCGCCGTTTTGGCCGCGGAAACGGTGCCCCCCCCGTCCCCGCCCGTCTGCCCTTCCAATCTGCCCCGCACGGGCGCTCCGTGAGCGGCCCCGTGGTGCGCCGTGCAGACACCCACGTGGTCCGATGCCCCGCCCGCACGCGTGCTTGCTCCCCGCCAATGGCTTTCCCCCCGCCCCGCCCCGCCGAAGATCCAAATAGAAGAAGAGCGGTGTTTGGGATGAATTTTAATTGCTTTTTCTAATACCCCCCAATCCGCCTCTCTCTCTACTGTCCTGTACGCTTTATCTCCACGCTCGCTCGCCCACTAGAAACTTTCGTCGCTACTGGTAAGTTACCACTACGGTGAGCGCCAGTCGATCGCCTTGTCACTGTTACGATTAAACATTAAAGAAAACATCTTGACACTTTTTTTAATATCCTGCAGATTATCTCGACTGGGAATGCCAAACAGTCTGTAAAAATATGTTCATTCACGATTAAAAACCGTCTTGCTCAACAACACCGCAGCCAAACTAGGCAATCGACATGCACAATCTCAAAACGCACACCGCCAACCCCCCCTCCCCGACTCAACAAAACCCCTCTTCCTAAACACACCAAAATCATTTTTTTCCTCCTTCATGCAAGAACATCCGGCAGCAGCCAGTTGTCCTCAGTGTTCGTAAACGCTGCTAGCGCAAACTCTCCATCGTCCAGTTTGTCCAAGTCCTCGAGGTCATCATCATCCTTGTCCACTCTTCGAGAGTCGTTGCTCCCCTCATCCGACATCAAAAATTCTCCCTCTCGACCACCTTCTACCACATGTCCTCCTCCATTCAACGTCTGAAGCTTGGCAGCAAATGAATGCTCCAGCTCCATCTCCACTTTCGGATCTGAAGCCCCTCCAATATACTCCATATACGGATCTGTCTGTCCCGATGCGTTCTCATCCGACATTTCCTCAGAGACACAAGAAGACATCTTCACCAGCGCATCCCTGCTTACTCCCGCCTTCTTCTCCTTCTTGCTCCCATTTCCACACTTGCGTCCCGTTCGCTTCTTCCCTTCCCCGCGCCTCGGCGGCGGCGCCATCATCACTGGAACATGTCCAGACATCACGTTCCCCAGCTTAGCAAGCACATGATTCGCCTGTCCGTCTGCCGCCAGCGGCACTAGCGTAGACTTGCCATCGGCCGTCGGCACCTGCACCACGGGGTTCATCCCAGCCGGCATCTGAATCGGCTCTCCAGCTTCAATGCTTTGCTTGGCGAGTCGCGCCATCTTCATCTGAAACTTTTGCGCGTGCGTGCGAACCTGCTTGGGCGTCCGCGTCTCCACATAATTCGAAATCGCTACATACGCCTTCTCTCCATACTCGGCCACTGCCTCCAAAAACCGTTCATGTTCCTCCTCTGTCCAGTACCGCGTCTGCCCAGGCCGCGGCTCAGTGCACTTGGCCACGATACTATGACGCTCCTTCTTAGTGTACGCAGTCTTCACCACTGGAAGCCCCGGCGTGCGCCGCTTCTGGGCCGCAACATTTCGGTTTTTGCTCTTTGCAGTGTTCGATGCACACCTGGATGCCTCAGCGGTGGAAAAGGGACTTTTCGAGTTGCATGTATGGAGCGGAGCAGACAAAAACTGAGACATTTGCTTTTCAAACCCAGAATCCGGTCGAGTTGGTCTCGACAGTTCCGGAGTGACAGCTTCTACATGCATAGATGAAGCTGAGGTCTGCGCGACGATCAGTGCAGGTTCCATGCTAGGCTGCTCTTTCTGGTATTCACTGCGGACAGTAGAGTGGCAGGAATTGGTAGCAGTGGAAATGTGTGCCTTGATCTGAGGGCATGAGGCGGAGCGATGATCATCGACGGACGAGGTTGATGAACTAAGGTCAGATGCATCGCCAGAGACTTCGGATGTCGTTGGGGATGTGACGGAATCCATAGGGGATGGGGATCTGTGCGATTCAGAGAGAGCCGACGTGTGCGGCATGACTGGGAGCGGAATGGCTGGGGCAGTGATGCGGGTGAGGTCTGCGGCGACTGCGGAGACAGCGGCAGCTGCGGCGGCGGCAGCAGATGCGCGACGAGTCATGACGACAGGACGGGATACGGAGGAATCGGGGGAGGGGGTTTGATTCGAACTGGCAGTGGGGCTTGCAGATGGAGATGGNCGTGAGTGTTAATAACGGGGTAGGTGCGAGGGTGATAGTGATGGGAATGTAGGGATGCGGAAGGGGAGGGGGGGAAAGGAGAAAGTATGGATTGGGTGAGGATGAGGGATTACGAAAGAAGTAGGCGGGGGGAGGGGAGGGGAGGGGGAGGGGAAGGATCCAGGACAAGACGGATGATGAGGTGCAGTTTTGGATGCGGGCGATAAGGGAGAGGGGGAAGGGATGGCGGAGCGGTGCGGGAGGAAGGATTCGGGATTCGGGTTATGTGATGGGAAAGGAAGATAGAGATTTCGACCGGTGGATTTTCAGTAGGGGTGATTTGTTTTCGTTTGGACCGCACTCGTGGGGGCGCGGGGGAGACAGCTGAATGAGTAAGGAGCGTTGGTGGAAGGGAGGGTGGATGGGGGGAAGGGCGGTAGCAAGTGGGGAATGGGATGTGTCTGTCGCGGAGCGAGTTTTGAGGGAAAATAGGTGCGGGTTATGACAAGAGTCCAGGGTTCCCACGGCGCATCGGGCAACGCGCTGTTTGGTACCTGGACGCCGCCGTACAAATCTCTGACGGTCGAGATGGCGTTTCGCCAGGTCGTGGCGGCGGTTTTGCCGCCGCAACGGCCTTCAGAGCCGACACCGGTCCCTCGAGACCAGGCGTGAGACTCTCACTCTCGGCGCGCCGCCCACCTCAATCTCCCTCTCAAGGCCGGCGCCATCTATAATTTCTTTCTTTCCTTCCACATTTCCAAAGCCCTATCTATGGGTACTGTTGTATCTCCGCGCGCCGTCTACGGGTCTGTCTCGCCAAGCCCGCGCCGCAATACCGAGGACAGGAGGCTGTGCGGGTGGACGAGGGTTCTTCCGTTTTTGCGTCAACGACGCTCAACCACGTTTACGACTTGATAAATGGTGTCGGCCTCGCCGTCGTCCCAGGCGGAGGCGTCTCCCTATTGGGTGAAAACGCTCGAACTTTCCTAGAGCCCCTGGCGCAGGCCAATCAGGTCCGCGTATCAAAAACGATCGACTATTCCATTCCTCCTCTGTGCCCGTCCCGCGCCCCAACGCGGTTCGCTTTCTATGTCACATACCTTTGCGCATCCATCCGGCCAACCGCCACGACTCACGCAGAAAATGATCGTATGATCGCCTTTTCCGATCCGCCTGTCGTGTTTGCACTTCTCTTGCCTTGCCAGTATACTCGACAATTTCCCATAAACAAGCCTGCGCCAT